TGTTTGCCTCTGCTTCCATCAGTCACTGGATGAAGGCTCCAGGATGGTTATAGACATCACGTTCATTAACAGGAATGGGCATTCAAGGTGGTCTCTCCACTATTGCTTAGCTTGCCAGTTGGTGCCATCCCTTTAGATCACTAGAGGTCTCACGGGTGCCAGATCTGTCTTCTAACCTATGATTCCCTCTTCCCCTTATTCTTCCCCCCCACTCAACCTTCCTGCTATCCCATGACCTACTCTCTCTTCCTCTTCTCCCCCTCTCTTCTTCCCAGCTCCCACTCCCCCCCCCCTTGCCATGTTCCCAATCTGTTCAGAAGATCTGCCTCATTCCTCTTCTCTGGGGTACCATGCAGATCTCTCTTAGGTTCTTTCCTGTTTCCCAGACTCTCTGTCAGTGTAAGTGCAGACTGGGACTATCCTGATCCCTGTCTAAAATCCATATATGAGTGAGTACATACCATGTTTGTCTTTTTGTGACTGGGTTACCTCACTCAGGATGGTTTCTTCTAGTGCCATACATTTACCTGCGAATGTCAAGATTCCATTGTTTTTTTTTCTGCTGAGTCATACTCCATTGTGTAAATGTACCACACTTTCTCTATCCACTCTACAGTTGAGGGACTTCTAGGTTGTTTCCAGGTTCTGGCTATTACAAATAATGCTGCTATGCACATAGTGGAACAGATGCCCTTGTTGTATGAATTTGCATCTTTTGGACATATGCCTAAGAGAGGAATTGCTGGGTCTTGTGGTAGATTGATTCCCATTTTCCTGAGGAATCTCCATACTGATTTCCAAAGTGGTTGTACAAGTTGGCACTCCCACCAGCAGTGGAAGAGTGTTCCCCTCTTCCCCTCTTCCACATCCTCTCCAGCATAAATTGTTGTGGGTGTTTTTGATTTTAGTAATTCTGACAGGAGTAAGATGGTATCTCAAAGTTGTTTTGATCTGCATTTCCCAGATGGCTAAGGATATTGAGCACTTTCTTAAGTGTCTCTTGGCCATTTTAGCCTCCTCTATTGAGAATTCTCTATTTAGTTCTGTACCCCACTTTTTAATTGGCTCCTTTGGTGTTTTTGAGACTTGCTTCTTGAATTCTTTGTAAATTTTGGAGATTAGCCGTCTGTCAGATGTGGGGTTAGTGAATATCTTTTCCCATTCTGGGGACTGCCTTTTTGTCTTGTTGACTGTATCCTTTGCCTTACAGAAGCTTCTTAGTTTCAGGAGGTCCCATTTGTCAATTGTTGATCTCAGTGTCTGTGCTACTGGTGTTATGTTCAGCAAGCGGTCTCCTGTACCAATTCATTGAAGAGTATCTCTCACTTTCTCTTCTAAGAGTTTTAGTGTGGTTGGATTTATGTTGAGATCTTTGATCCATTTAGACTTAAGTTTTGTACAAGCCGATAGACATGGATCTATCTGCAGGCTTCTGCATACCAATACCCAGTTATGCCAGCAGCATTTGTTGAAGATGCTTTCTTTTTTTCATTGTATAGTTTTACCTGCTTTGTCAAAAATCAAGTGTTCATAGGTGTGTGAGTAAAAATCAGCATTTTCAGTTCGGTTCCATTGGTCTACCTGTCTATTTTTGTGCCAATACCAAGCTGTTTTCAGAACTATAGCTCTATAATAGAGCGTAAAGTCAGGTATGGTGATGCCTCCTGAAGTTCCTTTATTGTATAGGGTTGTTTTGGCTATCCTGGGCCTTTTGTTTTTCCATTTAAAGTTGATTATTGTTCTTTCAAGGTCTGTGAAGAATTGTGCCAGAATTTTGATAGGGATTGCACTGAATCTGAAGACTGCTTTTGGCAAGATTGCCATTTTTTTTTTATTAATATTTTTTATTTTCCATTTTAAATTTAGATAAGAAACAAGGTTGCTTCACAAGTCAGTACGAGGTCCCTCTCCCTTTCCCTCCCCTCCTCCCGTGCCCTCCCCGCATCCCCCCCCCGTTATCCCCTCATTCCCCCAGGGAGGGTGAGGCCCTCCATGGGGGTGTCCATAGTCTGTCATTTCATATAGGGCAGGGCCTAGACCCTTTCCCAAGAGTTCAGGGTGAGAGTGCACCTCACATTGTTCTATGGGAGTCCAAAATCTGTGTGTATACTTGGTATGGGTACTGATCTGCTGCCCAAGGCTCAATAGATTACCTAGGCCTCCTCACTGACACCCAGATTCAGGGGGTCTTGATCAGTCCCATGCTGGATTCCAGGCTGATGCCTGGGATTCTAGAGTTAACCTTTGTCTGGTCAGCTGTTTCTGGGGGTTAAACCAGCCCAGTCTTAATCCCTTTGATCATCAGTCCTCCCTCTCTGATACTGGCTTTCTTGAGTTCAGCTCAGTACTTAACCAGCCACTAAATGTAGTTTCTGTTTCCCAGACTCTCTGGCCATAGGATTGTAGGCTGGCACTCCCCAGATCTATGTCTAAAATCCATATATGAGAGAGTACATGCCATGTTTCTCTTTTTGTGACTGGGTTACCTCACTCAGGATGGTTTCTTCTAGTGTCATCCATTTGCCTGCGAATCTCATGATTCCATTATTTTTTTCTGCTGAATAGTACTCCATTGTGTAGATGTACCACATTTTCTCTATCCACTCTTCGGGTGAGGGACATCTAGGTTGCTTCCAAGTTCTGGCTATTACAAATAAAGCTGCTATGAACATAGTGGAACAGACATCTTTGTTATATGAATGGGCATCTTTTGGATATATGCCTAAGAGTGCAGTTGCTGGGTCTTGTGGTAGGTTTATTCCCATTTTTCTGAGGAATCTCCATACTGCTTTCCAAAGTGGCTGAACCAGTTGGCACTCCCACCAGCAATGGAGGAGTGTCCCCCTTTCGCCACACCCTCTCCAGCATAAATTGTCATTGGTGTTTTTGATTTTAGCCATTCTGACAGGAGTGAGATGGTATCTCAGAGTTGCTTTGATTTGCATTTCCCGGATGGCTAATTTTTATTATGTTGATCCTACCAATCCAAGAGCATGGGAGATCTTTCCATTTTTGGTATTGTCTTTGATTTCTTTCTTTAGAGACTCAAAGTTCTTGATATACAGGTCTTTTACTTCCTTGGTTAACATTATCCCCAGATATTTGATTCTGTTTATCACTATTGTAAAGGGTGATGTTTCTCTGATTTCTTTCTCAGCCACTTCATCATCTGTCTATAATAGGGCCACTGATTTTTTTTTGAGTTAACCTTGTATCCTGCCACTTTGCTGAAGGTGTTTATCATCTCTAGGAGTTCTCTTGTGGAGTTTTTTGGGTCACTTATGTAAACTATAATACCATCTGCAAATAGTGAAAGCTGGACTTCTTCTTTTCCTATTTGTATTCCCTTGATTTCCTTTTGTTGTCTTATTGCTCTAGATAGAACTTCAAGTACAATATTGAAGAGATATGGAGAGAGTGGACAGCCTTGTCTTGTTCCTGATTTTAGAGGAATTGCATTGAGTTTCTCTCCATTTAGTTTTGATGTTGGCTGTTGGTTTACTGTATATTGCTTTTATTATGTTCATGTATGTTCCCACTTCCTTTTCTTTTCTTTTCTTATTTAGAAATAATCATTTTTACATATTAGTCCTCCACCCCATCCCCTCTCCTTCCCATCCTCCCATCCTACCCAAATGCTTGCTTTTTGACACAGGTCTTTGAAAGTCATTTCTAGGCTGCACCATAAATAAGCTAATTATTACTTATTATTCTCAATTTTCCCAATCATAACTTCATATAGTTATTTTATTGTAAGTACAAGTGTTTAAAAGGTAAAATTGGTTTTCTGGTGCTTTATATGTAATAGTCCTTCCTTCCACAATTTGAGAATTTATTACAGTATTATGGACATGCCAGCTCATCTAATGTATGATTTTTAGTTAGGAGATTGTGTATTTTTGGTTACTTTAGGAAGGGTGATATATAGTGAAAAGCACACTAGTGATCAATGAGATCCGGCAACTTCATATTATTATATTAACACCACCCTAGACAGTTCACTTATGATTCTCTTAATTACTTTTCATTTCCCTATACAGAATTATTCTCTTATTTTTTTGCACCATAGATTTTCTAGTATTTTGTATGAATAGTATATATTCTTTTATGTGTATTTTCACTATTATATATTGTATTAATACATATCTCTATTTTATATTTATTGTTAGTGTACTACTGTGTCAATATTCAGCAGTTGTCTAAAGTTTGGCAATTCGCACAACCTCAAATATCATCAAGTTCTGTACCACCACTGGCCTCATGCTGTAATTGGTCACCGTCATCATCAAATTAACATCCCCATTTCTCATCTAAATCAATAATTAACTGTTGTCAGCTCTACAGGATTCATTATCATCAAGAGCCCATTTCCTATAGCTTTTTAGTAATATTTTATCTATTGAAAAGACCACTGAAATGTGGAATCAGTATCAGTTTCTCTAATAATTGATAGACTTAATGATTCTGTAGCCCAATTAATAAGAACAAATTAAGAGCTTTTACAATTTATCTCACAGTAACATCTGTCCTCAGGATGCAGGACAATTGGAAACTTTAATGAATTAATAACTAAAAAGACCAACGCATTTAGCAGTTTGGATATAAATGGCAATGAGGCAATGATGCTAATACAGTTAGAGACTGAGAGATGGTGCATCCCTTCTCCATGGAGATGTTCAAGAGGGATATTCAAATTACCTATGTTCATTTTATACTGAAATCCCTGAATAAAAATAAATGTCATGAGAAATCCAAAGGAAAAGAGAGAGGCAATAGATCCTGATTAGGTTTTCAAAAAGGAAGAACAGTAGCTAGATATCTCCTTTAACCTGATCGACAATTCTTGGTAGCTGTATCTTATAGCTATAACCTGCAGTATGGATAAAAGGTCAAGGATGCTAATCTTTGTATTTGTCTTTTTCCATTATTAGATCTGATTTGCTGTGTTGTCTTGGCTGTGACAATCTGGTGGTAATTATAATAGTAATCCACTACTAGTACAGGCATTTTGTGAGAGGTTAACCAACATCAACAAAAAGTTCTGTAGTTCCTCCGGACTCGTTCAGTACTTGATCACCATCATAATCACAACAGCCTCATTTATCCTTCAAGCCAACAGAAGGACCATTAATCAGCTTCACAAGATCCACTGCTATCAATAACTCATTTGCTTTTAGTAATATTTTATCTCTTCAGAAGAGGGTTGAGCCATGGAGTCTGTGACAATCCCTGTACTAGTTGCTGGACTTATTGATTGTGTAGCCCAGTTAATAAGAATAGCTGAGGATCTGTTGCAGTTTATCTCACAGGAACAGGTTCCCTCTGTACAACAGAATGCTGCAGCAGAAGAGGCAGAAGCAGTTGTGCCTCCTCCTGAGGAAGATACCCTACCGGATCTTGCTGATCTTTCTGATTTAGAATCAATACTCTCAGTAAAAGACGATGAAGACCTAATCCTTGATATGGATGAAGCTATGATAGATGTGAATGATATCTGTGAGGATATACTCCCTGCAATAAAGGATGATACACAAAGTGAGTAAGATTCAGCATGTGAAAAACATAATTTTTCTTTTTCAAATATGTTCTATATTCTAGGCTTTAGCAATAAGTGTTTTCTTTTTCTTCTTCTGCATATTTTCATTATTAAAAACTTGTAGAATATTTAAGCCTCGATTTCTTTTTGGCAAAACCATTTTTTTCTAATTTTTAATTCAAATACTGACTTTAAGTATATAGTTCTTCCTTTCCTTATACTATTAGGATTCTTCATAAGACCAAATAATAACAAAGAAAAGAATCTACCGAAGAATAGAGTGAAGAAGTGATGAACCATACCACATACAGATACCTAATGCCATTATTCTGGGATAAATGGAATTTTTAAGGGTAGTATTCCCCAGCATGGTATTATACTGGATATTTTCACATGGACAGTAGAATGCTGAGACATTTCATATTGAAGAGAAAGGTTTCTATGGAAGAACAAGGTAAATAATTCTGAAAGGGCAACATCTACCAGGTAATAAAAGTATGCAAAGGTTTCCCAGATTTGCTTTGGCCAAATCTTTGAGAATTCTTGGGCCAAGATATTCCAATGAAAGACTGCTTCCACAAATGCCGATGCATGCTGCAGCTTTTTTGCAATATTGTTCTCTGACAGAAACTGAAACTTGTACCAAAATTCAAAGAAAGAAGTTCTAGAATGGCAAGATAATGCCAAGAAAAGACTTCATCAACAGAAAGTCAAACACTTAAGTCATCAGCCTGGAGGTTATGGTACACAAAGGGAAGTGGACAGTGCATATCTTCTTGTGTTTAACTGAGTTTATGACAGATCAAAAGCTTAATGTAGTAGGATGGCTACAACCTTAACCTAGCAATATTCATTATTAAGAGGTAAACATATAACAAGATGTGGCCTGGTATTGAGACACAATAATCATCCATGTGTCAGAAGGTGCTATAATAACTTTTTTTAATAATCAAACTGAATCTTATTTTCTCAATGTAGAAAAGATTCTAGGTACACAAGTATAGCCAAAGATGCAAATAGGTGATGCACTTAAAATCAACCTAAGTAGATTGGAAAAAGGAAAAAGAATACTTACGAATAACGATGAAACAAAAGAATTGTAGGAAAGTTAGAAAATATAATCTACACTTTAAGTTAGGGTTTAGAAGCAATTAGGGGAAATATATATATATATGTATATATATATATATATTGCCACCAGGGAAATTTGAACTATAAGATATGGGGTATAATTTTCTGTCAAAGTAAAACTCAAACCATAAATAATCGAACAGATTCAGGAAACATCCAGAGAGGGGCTTCCAGTCTACTATATTCTATTTGACTAGTAATTTACCCGAAAAAGACCAAATTTGATGCTCCATAAACATGATAGACACACTAAAAGGTAGATAGCGATCCAAGTAGAACCTTAGAATATAGACTTTATAACAATTTCACAAGTGATTAATAAGACTTTGCTAAAAAGTATTAGTGTTTTAGAAAGCATAAAGCACCAGTTAACACAAGCAGGCCATACCAAGAGAAATTTGTTAAGTCTACTCAAGAGTGAACAATAATGAATGGACAATGTGATTCTTAGACATCAGAACAAGAAGATGCTGCAAGCTCATAATATGTGGATCTGATTAGTATCTTGTTTACCTGTAATACATGGAAAGATGGAAATATAATGGCACCTAAGAATTAAATATATATTTCAGTATTTGCCTTGATTGTATAATCATATGCATTGAAGAGCTGTTAGGATGTAACTCTACTTCAAGAAATGGACTGTTGTAGCAAGTATTCTTGCTATATGGAACTGGATTAGAAACAGAGTTAAAGGTGACAAGAAGAAATCATAGCAGTAAGAAAATAGTTAAGAAAAGAGCTAGTGGGGGGTATTTTCAGCAGACAGAACATTTTAAATTGCCAAGAGTTACACAGTTGTTTGAGATGGGGTTACTTCCTGAGTGAGTTAGTCTATCTTTGCCTTATGAAAATTAGCCAAGCCTAAGATATTGCTAGAAGTTGCTAGACGGTAGTTGATATAGATTAAGTAGATGGCTAAATTAAAGGGAGAAATACTTATAATATGCTTATTGGATGCCTCCGATTGAGGTGTTGAATCTCCTCCAGGAGAGTGGAGTGAGTGGCTACTTCATTATCCAAGGAGCCTTGCTTTGGACCTTCTTGAGGTTAATGCCAAAACCAGATTTTGCATGGCATAAATAAGTAGAGAGGGAGCAAGGCTATACATGTTGAGACTAATTTAAAGGTGTTAAAATCAAGAGAGACAGGTTTTTAGATGGCACTGAAGTAGATAGTACAAATCTTAATGCTTTAGCTAAAGTAGGAAAGCTGCTGAAGCAATATATGTAATGATTTTTCAAGTTATTCTATTATTATTGCTTATGATCTTTATTAACTGTTGTTCCAAACTGCTTAATTGTTTTTAAGGTATTTTAACTAATAAACTTTGATTTACACACCAAAGAACTTGTTGTCGCCTTGAATCAACTAGTAGCAATTTCTGGGCTACCAAACTGCCATAAAAGGACTCTGTTCAACAGCAGGTCATGGAGTATAATAAATGAGAATGTTGTTCAAAGAGCCTGACTGTCTACTTCTGATATGTCAGATGATCTCTAAGAAGTACATTAACATGATGCTTCACCATTCGTAAAATGAAGATTATACCTTTTCTGCTTATTTTTAATGGTAAAAGGGAACAAATGAAATAATACAGTTTTTAAAGGTTTTGGTGCATCTGACAATGGAATACAATACATGAAATTGTGACATTTCAGAAGTCATTCCATACCAAAATATGTCAGTGTGAAAATACCTGAAGATTTAATTGACATGTAAGAACAGTCCAACAGTTCGTACCTGTAACTAAGAGACAAATGTTTCCCCATTCTATTTTACGTAAAAAATTATAATTCGGAATTGGTATTTGTTTAATTCTTTGGAGCATAGTTTTTCACCAAATTAAATTCTTTTGAAGGGCCTATTTGAATCCTGGTAGGAATAATTATGAGAAAACTCTACAGTGAAAAATCCCTTTAGGGAATAATGAATTATCCTTCACTTTATGATAAGATTTTGTTCCTGAGGGCGATATTGTACTGGTTTCTTTTCTCTTTGCTGTTTCAAAATATGTGACAGAAACGTTTTAAGGAATAAAAGGTTTATATTGGCTCATAGCTCAGGGTTTTAGAGGGTTGCAGTTAACCATAATAAAGAAGACATGATGAGGAGAGCAGCTGTCTATGGTGCTGGGTGTTCACACGTCTGGGGACGAGGAAGTAGAGACATGGCCAGGATGAATGGTAAGTATAATCTCATAAGGCCTGCTCCTATTACCTAAAGGCTCTACAACCTTTCAAATGACATCATGAGCTGGTGACAAAGCACTCAAAATATGGTCCTGTGGGGGAACATATCACCTTCAAATCATAACACTCTTTCTCAGTTCCTCATAGGCTCATAGCCAATTGATAATGCAAAATGCATTGACTCAAAGGGGCCCCTAAGTTTTAACATTGCACATAGCTTCAAGTTTATTATCTGCCTTCATATTCAAGATAATTTTCTAACTATAATCCAATATCAAATAAAAATAGAGAGATCCATACTCACATATAATATCACCTAATGAGCATTCCCTAACAGGAGAAATGTGGATAAAACAAGAAATGATTGCAACTTAGATTACAGGACTACACCACCCCACCCTGCTGACTGCTACACAGTTTTTCTTTTTTAAGTATCTCCCATTCTCATGTAGAGGTTGTTACTCTTTGAATACCTTTGTCCTGTGAGATTTTTTCCAATTCTTTCATTGTCCTTCTTCAGGGTCTTAAGGTCATTAGTAAAGCTATCTTTAAAAAGTGTCTCCAAATTGTTTATGGGCTCTCAACATGTGACTCTCAGGTTAAATTGGTTACATCAGATCATGGGATAGGAACCACCTGAATTAATAATTAGGCTGGGAAGTTGTTCAGTATGTAGGAGCACTTGATGTGTAAACAAGAGGCCCTGAGTTCAAATCCCACAAACCCATGTAAAACTCTAGGTATGGTTGTGCATGCCTATAACCACGGTACTGCGTGTAGTGGGAAGGATATGACAGGCAGGATGATTATGGAGTTTCTAGGCCACCCCCTAGCTTGAAGTTTAATAGAAGACCCTGCTTCAAGAGAATGAAGCAGGCCGGGCGGTGGTGGCGCATGCCTTTAATCCCAGCACTTGGGAGGCAGAGGCAGGTGGATCTCTATGAGTTTGAGGCCAGGCTGGACCGACAGCCTCCAAAACAATACAGAGAAACCCTGTCTCGTAAAATAAAAAAAAAGAGAATAAAGCAGACAGTGATAGAGTAGAACACCCACTGTCCTTCTCTGATCCTGGGGCATATGAATGAGTGACTACACCTATACACACTTGTGTGTACATCATATATCACAACTGGGGATGTGCAAACTCAGACTGTTATGCGCACACATAAAATATTATTAAATATGTAGGAGGGAAAAGGAAGAAACACAAGGGACAAATAAAAAAAATAAGGACTAGACTGGGTAGTGGTGGCACACACCTTTAATACCAGAACTCAGGAAGCAGAGGCAGGAGGATCTTTCTTTGTGAGTTCAATGGCAGCCTGGTCTACTGAGTGAGTTCCAAGATAAGTCAAGGCTACACAGAGAAACCCTGTCTTGTAAAACAAATCAAAAGAGAACAAAACAAAAAGAACTGCTGAAACTACTGAGCCAGGAATGGTGGAACATGTCTGTAAACTCAGTACTTGGGAAAAGGGTCAGGTGTCCAGGAAGCTTCCTTCTTGAGACCCTGTCTCAAATGCACGCTTATGTGTGCATGCAAACACACACACACACACACACACACACACACACACACACACACACACACACCCCACTATAACCACCACCACCACCAAAACTAAGGAAAAGAAAATGGATATAAGAATAATAATAAAATTCAATACGTCTTTCTCTTCAGTTTATTAGGACACATAAACCATATTACTTTAAGCAATTTTCTTTCGCTGTTTTTGAAAGATTTGTTTTATGCATATGGGTGTTTTGCTTATATGTATGAATGTGTATCACATGTGTGTTTGGTATCCACAGAGATTAGAAGAGATCATTGGATCTCCTGGAACTGAAGTTACCAGATGGTTGTGAGCTACCACATGGGCACTGAGAACCATACCTGGGGACACTGTAAGAGCAACAAGTGCTCTTACTCACGAAGTTATTTCTCTAGCCCCACTTCCAAAGATTTTAAGGGATTTAGTTTATCATGAAAATGCTAAATTCCCTTTCCATAGAGAATATAGTGAAGATACAATTATCTTTCATTGATTTATTTGTGTCTGAACTATAAATTAGCTATATTGTTTTGTGATATCCTACAGGAAGATAACTGTAAAATAATCAGTGATAAAGTGTATTCATGAAGATCATTATCTTTATAAATTTTGTCTCCAAACACACTAAAGTTAAGCTTATAAAACATCTCCAAACAAGGAGGATCACTGTTTATCTCTGAATTTCAAACCCTGAGAATAGTACTTAAGAAATAGTAGTTGAATCAAAGAATCAGGTGACTACTATTTTGGTCACAAAGGAATCACACAGAAACTGCATCACATACAAATGGGTGTAGCTGCTTGTAAGACCTATCCAACCACATGTATGTTTAAAGTTGTAAGTATAGTTGTTTGTTTTTCACTCCCCAACATGTAAGTGGTAGAAAAATACTGAGTCTTGCTTTGATGCATGGACACTGAGAGTTTTAAGATTCCAGGAATCTTAAAATCTTAAAATCTCAGCTTACCTCTTTCTGGTGATATTTGATTGCCACCTTCAGCTTGGCCAGGTCATGATACTTCTGTGGGTCAAGTTCTTCACTGTGGTCATCTCGATGGTTGAGGATGATCTCCAGTTCTCGGGAGCTCCGAGCTTGGTCCAGCAGGTCTTTGGCAAAGAGCTTACATTGCTGGGAGAGCTCTTCATACTCAGCCTTGAATTCATTTTCTACCTTGCTTAGCTCTTTGAGTTCCCAGCCCAGCCGGAAGGCAGTTAGGATGGGGTCCTCACTTGATAAGGCAATGAGTGAAGGACTTGCCAGAGCCTTGTAGATGTTCAGTCGGGACCTTGAATGACGCAGGCTGTCTACCTCTGAACTGGACACACATTCTACACAGTTGCAGCGGATTTGGTGAGGCCGTGGGATAGTGACCCGCTTTTGGACAAGCAATTTGATGATTTCATAGTTGTTGGTGTGAGCAGCCAACATGATGGGAGTGATATCTGGTGTGAACTCAGAGAACTGGGTGTCCATCATCAGAGTGGGAACCTACACATGAGAAATGAGAAACACAGAGAGGCCAGGGTTAGAGTTAAGTACAAAGCAGTATCCATTGATAATTCAGAAACTGAAATTTCCATTACCTTGTGACTTCTCACCCAAACAGTTAATGTTTGTGGGCTGCTGTGTGGCACTTCCCTGTGCACTTTATTGAATTTACTTATTTAATATACACAACAACCTAGTTGGTAAAAATTCAACCCAGGTAGTACAACTGTTAAGCTCAACTCTTAAAATTATGTTACGACAATATGTCCAGTTCTATCCAACAGAATAAGGGAAAGAAAAAATAGAGGATGTTGTTCTTGGCCTTCTGGCTGAATTGCACAGATCATGAAATTCCTAGCAGTTCAAGATGTTATGTGTTTAGCTTTAACTGAGCTGTTGAGACTGCTGAAATATTCACTTGAAAGACCAAAGACAAGCAATCACTTTGAAGACCATGCAACTAAATAAAGCCACAAAAAACCCTCTTAAAAGTGGTATTGACTTTGTATGCATATGGGATGCTAGAGGACTAAAGGGCAGATCTGATTAATTCAATTTCTTCTAGGTCCAGGAAGGCAGAAAGAATTGGGTATTGTCAGGGAGAAGTAATATTGTAAATGAGAAATTCTAAGCTTGCAGCAGCATTGCTAATGACAAGAGGACATTTGATAAAACTGTTGTGTCTAGGATATGATATTTGGTAGAAATGATATCTATAGCTAGGATTCATTATATTTAGAGTTCATTATATATTAAGGAGCATACCTGTAGAAATGCATTGATCCTGATCAGTGAATTAAAGCAGTCTTCCAACTTGAAAATAAGTCTTGGGGGACTTAGTCTGTTTTCAGCCCAATAAAGAAAGCAAGAAGGTCTGGGGTCACAATTGAGTTAGTATGTCTAACATGCAGAAAGCCTTGGTTTCAATTCCCAGAACCATATAACGAAAATAAAATGGAAAACGAGAGAATCACCAGATTCACATTAGAACTGGAAGATGGAGGAAGACTGAGATAGTGAAGGGAAGGGTTTTGGAGGGGAGATCTGAGTATATGAAGCATGTGTAGCATTCCAGCAGATAGGGAAATACTGATCTTATTATATTTGAGGAAAAGTAGAACACAGTGTCAAAGCTCATTTTCAATGGGAGAAAAAGAGTAGGGACATTTGGGAGTCTCATAAAATAGAAAAATGTTGTTTTAATCAATACTTTGTTTTTTAAAGACAACAACAATCTATAGTTACTGGTGACCTTACAAAAGCATGAGTTACTGGCTTTCATCAATTTCTACTTCTTATTTTAAAAATATATCACTTTGTATAAGGTATTTCTAAAACAAAGAAGTGAGCAGAAAAGAGGGAGAGGGAGGACGACTAAGGGGAACAGAATGGAAGAAACCAAATTTCCTCAGGAGTAGCTGCGTTGGCTTCTGAAGGCTATCAGTCATCAATTGCTAGGATCAAGAAGAGAGTAAACACTGCAAAATATTGGGAAAGAGAAGCTACAAACAAAACAGTGGGAAGTGAACAACTCAACTCATAACATAAATTGCACATAGAAAAGAATAATCTCAGAAATTAACACAAGCCTACAGACTTAGGAAGAAATAGGTCTGAGTGGGCCTGGAAATGAACATAAACACAACTGGCATAAAGCCGTGGAGTAGGGAGAGATGGAAAGTGAGCAATTTGTCATAGTCTGCCCAGAAAGAAAAGAGCTCATATCTGGAAAATCTGTCCTTTCTATAGGTAGGGACATTTTCAATCTTTATCATTATCTAAAATGACTGGGAGAAGGTGGAGTGGGTGTCAACCTGTTTGATGGTTTTCCTGGCTAAGGGTGGAGGTATGGTCTTGCTTCCTAACATGCTGTTCAACTTGTCTTCTCACCCACTCATTCCTTGCTCTTTATACTTTCGTTCTCTTTTCCTTTCTTCCTTTCAGTGCTGACAGGCCTGTCCACAACACAGAAGTACCCAAGACTGTTGTTTAACCCTACTTGTACTATGGAGCTAATAGGAGACTGGCTATGCTTGGAATATGCAAAGCTGTCTGGAGCTATTTAATTCCAATAAGGAGCATTATGACACTCCACTTGGTTTTTTGGTTACTTGAGAGCAGAGAGGAAAACTTTCCCAAAGACTATAGTTTTCATTGATCACGTCTTCCCGCAACTGCCTATTCAAATGTTGTAGGTTACATATGAGGTAGATACTTTTCTGATGGTGCTTTACATTGTTCTCTGTCTCACAATATGCTTTTTCGAAGCCTTGTGAGGGTTAGTATTCATCGTCACCTTGATGGAATCTAGGATTAACTGGAAGATGGGCCCCTTGTCATGACAAAATAATAAATCATATGAACATATTAGATGAACAGGCAGCTCTCCAAACAAGTACAAAAGAGCACTGTACAGATGGCCCCATGATTAACACAACTTGCCATTCAATTGTGAGGGCTAGAGTTTAGGTCCTAACACTCATGTTGGGTGACTCACAATCACCTGTAACTCCAACTACAAGAATCCAGTGCCATCCTTTGGCCTCTGTGGGCATACACACACATCTGTACACACACTCACACAAGACACACACACACACAAGATAGAATAAAATTTACAAAACATAAGTGCAAAAAATAATGAACACACAAAAATGTTCAAAATGTCTAGCCATCAAGGATATGTAAACCAAAACTACTTTGAGATGGTGGGTGTAGCACTTCTAATTCCAGCACTTTGGCTATAGAGGCAGGAGAATCATGAGTTCAGGTTCAACCTGGGATACAAAGACTCTTGAAATATCTACCTTCTCAACTGGAGCTGGGGTCAAAGACCCCAAAGAAAGGATCTTGCATTTATCCAGGTAGTGGAAGTTGAGTTTGTAAACAAAAGAGTTCAAGTCTTAATTTTAGAATAGGATACTTTTAATTTTTTTTGTTGAGAGCAGCCATGGGAGTATACAACAGGTGACAATTAGTGTTCAACATGTCTACCCATCAGACACATGATTCCCTAGTGGGGATACAGCACTTTTTGCTGAAGACCGTCACTGTGCTCTGTGCTGCAAGGGTATCAGAGCAGACTAGGGAAGCTCCACCTTTAGACAGAAGCTTTCACCATTTTTGAGGAGTGTCTTAGTTTCTTTCCTGCTGCCATGACAAAAATACCCTGACAAAAACAACTTAAGGAAGGAAGGGTTCATTTAAGCTTACAGTTCAAGGTATAAACCATCATTGCAGGGGAGTCAAAGCAGTAAGAGCCTGAAGAAGCTGCCACATTAAACATGTTTTAGTCAGAAAACACTGTTAAATACATGCTAGTGTTCAGCACCCTTTGTCTAAGCATGTAATCCAGGATCCTTGCCAGGGAATGGTACTGCCAAGAGTGGACACAGTAACCCATATCAATTGAATAATATCATCAAGATAATCTCCCATAGTTATGTCCAAAGGTCCATTTCCCAGTTGATCCACTCACTGTAAGTGGCACCATTTCACGTGTAGACAATTCTGAACTGCGTAAGATAGAGAGCAGACTGAGTACTCTTAAGCATGCATGCACCTATTGCTATATTGATCTATTGCTATATTGATCTCTGCTCTTGATTGTAGATGTGACGTGACCCATGTCCGTGCTGCGTTGACTTCTTCACACTTAATGGACTGTCACCTGAACTGTGAACTAAAATAAATCCCTTCTTCCTTATGTTGATTTTATTTTGTTGTGGCATTGAATGGATGATGAATATAAAAATAAAAGTAGAATTAAGACTTTTTAAATTATTTTATTGTCCGTTTTGTAGGTTTAGAGGTCTTAAAGTTTGGTTTCAGTTATGGTGAGTTTGGAGACTTGATAGGAACAGCAGCAGGAAATTACATGACTGCAGCATGAATCATGAAGGGAAAGTCGAGGTTGACAGTACAGTTGTGAGAATCTTTAGCCAGTAGTAATAACTGAAATCAAAGAATAGAACAAATCAGCCTCTGTGAGCTCCTCCAGTTCTCCAAGAAATCTGCCCAGCCCTACTTTTCAGAGCAGCTAAGGAATTAGGGTTAAGTGCAAATCACTATTGTCAGCCTCCTCCACTCAAAATCCCAATGGCTGTCATTTTGCATTAGGGCATCGTCTTTATTTTATTACTATCTGAACTGACATATCTTCCATACCATAGTGTGTAATAAAAGACTTCACTTTGGACCTGTAGACTGATAATTTTGCTTAATACATAAGTTAGGAGATACAAATGTGTCTGTGTAAAGAATGGGAGGAAGATACAAGTTGATCATTTTGGCTGGGAGCAGGGACCAGGGAAGGTGAAACATTCCAAATAAAGGCAAGTAGGGACTTGTGAATAGTTCAAGGTGCCTGAGGTGATGAGAAGTGGGGGTCCAGAGCAAAGGATGATTAACCTGGATTTTCAACTTGATCTGACTGAAAAGTCTAGGAATTTAGTAAAGCACATCTTTGGATGTCTATGATGGTGTTTCCAGACATGGCTAGGTCCTGAAGGCTCTGAAATAATGAGAGAATTAATCCTTTGATGGATTCACAATATGAGGACATTATAGAGAGAGATGATTAAAATATGGGATGGGACCTAGTTTGAAGTAAGTAGGTGGGGAGAATATTCCTTAGGGACTATATCTTTCTCTGTCCCCTTTGTATAAGCCCTTGCCTTGCTTCCTGGCTGGCATGAAGTGAACAATTGAGTCTTCTGAAACTGTGAGTCCCAATAAATCCTGCCTCACTTATGTTAGTTGTGTCTGGTATTTTGTAACATGGTTGAAAACATAACTAAAACAACCTGGGCATAGTATAAGTGGAGATTGTGTATATGTATACTGCCCATAAAGGAACATATGACATTTTCAGCAAATAACTATCACAACAGATACAAGCACACCAACAAAAACACTCTCCAGAAAAGTAGCTTTAAAAAGTTATATCCTAATTATTTGAGACAGGGTTTCACTTTTCACTTTGTAGTCCAGGTTAGCCT